TTTCAAATGTCATGGATATGGGCACATTGCATCCAACTGTTCAAACAGAACGATGATTTCCTTTACAGAGTAGGGTGCAGTGAAGGAGGCAGAGAGTGAAGGCCCAAGGGAGGAGAATGGAGAGGAGTACTAGCTACTTGTAGATAATGGTAAGATACTTGTGATTCGACAAGTTCTTCAGACGAACCTAAGAGGGATCAATAGTCGTTCAGACATAACATTTTTTGTATCGGTTGTACTGTAAAGGAGAATATGTGTAAATATATGGAACTATGCAGATGATGGACAAATTAAACCTCATTACACGGAAGCATTCCCAATCGTACGCCCTGACTAGGTTGAAGAAGAGAAATGAGATTTATGCCAATAAGAGATACCAGGAGAAATTTTAATTGGTGATAAGCTGCAGGATTAAGTTTGGTGTGATGTTATCCCTATAGATTATGTTATATTATGTTGAGTCAAACTTGACAATATGACAAAGGTATGCTTTATAATGACCACAAAAATACCTAAAAATTTAACAATAATGGGAAATGTATTGTACTTCTTCCCTTAAAAGAGTTAAATATTAATGAGAACTAAAACAATGATTGGAGCAATCATGCCTCATGCTACCTTTCTATAGGTAATGAGTGAGACCTCAGTGAGACAGATCTTGGTGATGCTGTAAGACCATAATAAGGAGGAGCTGATACTAGAGTTAGTGCGACCCTTTCTAGTAGTGTTTCCTGGAAATATGCATTTTACATTAATATATCAAAAAGTACAAAAAACTAAGCATGTGTGCACCAATATCATATATAAAAATGTGATCTACCATCTACAAGTATAGAAGAAAGCTCACTATCCCTGTCTACATGAATCAAAAGAAAAGAGCCATGAAGGGCTAGCTTAGCACAAAAAATAAGCCGCCCTATTACAGTCATGAGGCGTATAAAAAACAAACTTGCTTAAAGTTCAAAAGGAAAGCAAAATCCAGAGCAACATTGCCAAATGTCTGTCTTCATGGTAGATGGCAGGAAGTGCATGATGTTGGTTTTGTCTCCATCGATGATGATGCCCTTACACTCGACCATCCATAGTTGGCAAATGTTTTGGAACGATCTAATAGCATGAAGCTTAACTTGGGCGCTGCGTCAATGTTGAAAGTTTTGTCCGATAGCAGTAAGTCCAAATACTTGCTTGTCTCGAATGATGCAACCGGTACCGGCCGCCCAAGAAGGTAGAAGAGCACTATTGATGAAATTGAAAGAGTGGAGTCTTCAAAAGTCCCTCAAGAATGGTGGCAACGATAGTTGTTAGCGTGCAGTAAGAACGGTTGTGGATCTTTGCATTGCGAGCTCTTTAACATTGAAGAACAATGTAACAAAAAAATCGGGCTTATGGGAGTTCTGAACAGGTGCTTATTCGTAACTTCGGGGAAGTTGTTGAAAACCAGGATGAAAATAGCCCAACTACCCATACTGTCTTTAATAAAACAAAACAAAAAACAGTTAGTAAAAATATCATCCCGATCCTTCACCGCCAAGTAGCCCCAAGGGCACACCGTGGAATTTGTACGACCCCTTTTTGCAAGCCAAACCCGAGTGGGAATGACATCATGATATAATCTCCACCAAACATGCCCCCCCTTAGGTGCAGTTTCAGTTGTTTTATCCAATTGGAGTTAATACCGGAGTTTTGAAATTTGGCATCACGCGCAAGTGTAATAATAGTTCTCCCTAAGTGCATCATCTTGAGTTCCATAAAATCCTCTAGATGTTCAGTAGAAATTGGAACTTTCAGTAGCCTTCATTTCATCTCCAAAAGCATTTTGCAATTTGTTTCAGTTCCACATACCATCCTCCAAAAAATCCAAAACCTGTTGCCCCTTCAAGATTTCGGTATTTGCTGGACATGGCCATTTTGCGAGAGATGAAACTTGGACCCAATGTTGCTCCACAATGTTTATACTCTTTCCATTGGCGACACGCCAACACAAAATAGGAAGAAGGGGGCACAGTGGCACCATCACATAAAATTTTCCATGTTTTGGAAGTGTCGCTCTTGTGGTTGCAATCCCATAAGTTGGTGCCATATTTACCTTTCAAAAAATGGTGCAAAAGTGATACCTTATCGTGTAAGGAGTGCCAAGCAAGCAAGGCCTTAGAGGCCCCTTCCAATCCTTAGAGACATGGCAACCAAGGCTTCCATTTTGTGAGGGCTGGCAGAGCTTGTTCCAAGCAATATAATGAAGGACGGGTTGATTTGTATTCTTATGCCCTAAAAACTATCTGCATTTGCGTTCGAATTTATTGAGAGTACTACTGAGCACCTTGGTGTGGGTAAGCATGTACATAGGCATGGTAAGAAGAGAAGTATTGATGAGAGTAGTACGTCTCCCAAGAGATAATTGTTGCATTCCCCAAGCATTTAGCCACAAAGAATCCTTCTATACAATGTTGGTGAAATCTGATTTGTTTAGTTTCCTTAACGCAGGTTTGATGCCAACATATTCCAACTCCTCAACACGGGTGAATTGAATTGTAAAAATCTGGAAATTCTCCTTTTAATCCAATTTCGGGGTGGCTTTACAAAAAATAACAATAGATTTGGAGGTGTAATGTGTTGGCCGGTCCAGACCCAGTAGTCCTGCACTATTTTAAATAATAGTTTTGTAGCCTGCATGTTTTCTTTGGAAAAAAAATGATATCATCAGCATAAAGCATAGGTGAAAGCGAAGAGGTCCCATTGGTAAGTATGATGCCAATATGTCTTGCTCTTTGAGATAGGGCTAATGAAAGAACTTCAGAAAAAATTAAAAAAAGACAGATATAGGGCAGCTTTGCCGAAAACTGCAAGCCACTTCGATTAACGAACTTTTTTACCGTTAATGAGAAGCATGAATCTAGGAGACTCAACACAGTGGAGAATCCTGTTTTTAAAAATATCTGGGCAATCCAACTCCTCAAGCACCTTTTGTAGAGTTCTCCAATGCATTTTGTCATAGGCTTGCTTCATATCGATTTTATTTGTCATGAGGCTGGTTTAAGCGGTTGTCCAATACTTCAAGTATTTTCAAGTGACTAATTAAACTGACTTTTCAAGCCTTCAATAGAAAATTATGATTGTATACTTTGATGCCATAATAGCGTACAATAGTCCAAAGAACGAGCATTTACAACATTTGAGACAAGTATTTTAAGGTTCTCCGGATAGAACAATTATATGACCATCTAAGAAAATCACTTTCTTACATCGTAGATGTGCTTTTTAGGATATATTATTTTAGTTGCGGGCATTGAGATTGACCAAACAAAGATCCAGGATATTGCGGCATGACCCAAACACCAGTCATTACTCAGATACGACAGTTACATAGTTTGACTTCTTTTGACAGTAGGTTTGCCAGAAATGTCAACTCAAACAAGACACATTTGATGGAGCTTCTCAAGTCGGATAAATTTGCATAGCTAGATAATGCTCAGGCTAGTTATGATGCTTTGAAGAAATAGATGACTCAAGCACCCACTCTCGCACCTCCATATTTCAATCAAGCGTTCGATGTAGAGTGTGGCGCCTCTAACATGGGAATTGGAGCTGTGCTAAATTAGGGAGGACACCCCATTGCTTTCTTCATTGAAAAATTGAATGATTTCTAGAGAAAATATTCTACCAACGACAAGGAATTTTTATTCTACTGTTAGATTTCTTAGTCCTTGGAGTCATTATTTGTTGGCAAATAAATTTACTCTCTAGTCAAAATAAGTGAAAGGGCAGACAAGCCTCATGGGCAGGATTCTTTTTCCATTCAATTTTGTACTCAAACATAAAAGGGTCAAATAAAATAGCTCATGCACCGAGCCTTCGCCAATGTATTTCTCACTACATTGCATTCTAATAGAATGTGTCATACAACCATCAGCATGACGTGATAGCCCAATAGAAAAATAAAAAAATAAGGAAATAGGAAATAGGAAAATAGATAAATAAAAAATAAAAAAATAGGAAATAAAAAAATAAATTTGTGTTGGCAAAAAAATTTACTCTCTACACTAAACAAGAGGGCCCGGGATGCTTGAGCAGTCAGAATAAGCTAAAGGGTAGACACACCTCTTGAGTGAAATTTCTTTCTTCATTCCATTTTATACTCCAACATTAAGCAAGGAGCAGAACAAAGTAGCTTATGCATTAAGTCATCACCACTTATTACTTGCTACGCAAACAACCCAATAAAATGTGACATACATTTATCGACATGACATTATACCACACGTGATCCTATAACTTGTCTCCAATAGAGAAATCTACCAAACACCTCTTGTTAATACCGAACTCATTCACCTTCTTCAATAAAGTTAGAGAATGTGGTTGGGAATATTTCTAAATAGTGAAGCTCAATTTGCCCATCATCTACGTAAACACCACATTCTCAAAATTTCCTTAGCCTAGAATGAGGCCGCACACCTTCTCCTTCATAAAGAATTAAGTAAAAAAGATGTTATGCCTAAGCCACCACTACTCCCTCTTGACTTGGTTTGGAGAATTAATTGAATAAACCATAAACATCTAATCCTCATACGTGACACTTCTTGTTAATTTATTTGTTCCACTACATTGCTCTGTAAAAGAAATCACAATCCTATATTTTCATACCTATGTAATATAACAAATGTCTTATGAAAAATTGACCTAAATTCACCAAAATATATTAATAGAGTGGGGTGTAGATTTTGAAGCCCACAACTCTCATAAATTACTTTCAAAGAGTTAAATCATATTGACACTTTCGACGAATATTTATTTATTTATTTCACAAGTATATATAATTTAAAGGAACATTAGTGGAAAGACAATGCGCTAGTATCATGTTAAAAATTAAAACATGTTGAAGTAGTCGTGAAAGCAAAATGGAAAAAAAAATGAGTTAGTCAACCTATGCAGAATATTTTATCCAATAGACAAAGCATAGCTCTTGGCTGAAAGCGCATAGTTAAAATCTCATTCTTAAAGGTCACCTCAATTTGTCGATCCAAACAACAGGGTCACAAGGCTCTGAGATCAGTCTCCATCTGACAGCTATTGAATAAATGTCCCTCCAAGAAAAGGAACGGTTAGAAGAAATTTTATCTTCGCTGGAGCTATATGAGGCTGAGATTTCTGATAGGCTGCTAGTACTACAACAAACGCCACCTCTATTATGGCTCTGCACAAGAGGCCTTTCTCTCCTCCTAACTTTTCTCCCACTTCTACTAGCATTTCTTAGTGAACGCCATGCCTTTCCAACCTTTTGTGCAATCTCAATTGCAGCTAGCCCAGCCATTCGATACTGCAATAAAATTTAAAGGTACCATTAAAATAAAAACAGATTCTTACAGCATAGAAATGCATAAGCTTACTATTTAAAAAATACATGCTGAGTTGAGAATTAAACCAGCCATTACAGATCATATATAAAAAAGTTTAAATGTGATGACAACTGCTAGACTCCGTTTTATAAATATACATTGTGTAAATGTTAGCTCACGTCTATCATGTAGGCCAGAATTGATAAGCATGCAACTAAAAAAAGAACAAATTACAACACAACAGATATGTAAGACAAATAACAACATCAATAACATGAAACTGCAACATATTTAAAGTTGATGTTAGAAAAACTACATGATTCAAACTTGAATATATTAGGTGAATGTAAGGCTGCGATTGATATTGACATGGGAGCAGGCACCCAATCACACCCGAGGGCGCAATGACCCCCACATCTCGTGTCCAACAGATCTGACGAGGGCGAATCCCACAACCCGTCTGCTCAACCTGACTGAACTGGTCTAGATTTGTCTATATTTTGGAAGTGTCAATCAGTTCCTTGGCCCACTCCTAGTCGTCACATTATTATAAATTCACTTTTGTGGGAGTTTATCAATAGTTTTTGTGTGTTTCGTATCGAGACAGTCACCAACGTCTCTACTTCCATTCGAGAGTTGTATCCTAGGGTTCCAAGTAGTGCTTCAGCTGTATCTTGGTTTCCAGGTGGTAATTATCTTCCCTACCCCTTCCACATCCCTCTCACTTCACTACCATGCCTTACTCCTCGTTGCAACCGCCCTGTCAGCAGTCCCATTGCTATCTTCCTAAAGTTCCTCGACATCCAACCATCCATATCGCTGCCACAACCCTTGGACAATTCTCCTGCAGTTCCTCGACATCCAGCCATCCTTATCGCTGCCACAACCCTTGGACAATTCTCCTTTAGCACTCTCGCAATCCCACACCTTCATCATCGCCGCCAACATCATTCCCACTTGCTGTCGCAGAACGAGAACAATCGTTCGGGCCGTTTTATCTTGTTCCAGACACCGACCAGTTGTTTCTCTCATTTCAGCTTGCTGTCGTTGTTGCAACGTCATTCCCCCCCCC